CACAGACAACCTCTCGTCAATATGCGTTTTTTGCATTGCATAACTGCAAAAAACGCATAAAAAGAGGAAAACCTCAAGTAATGAAAATGTTTTTTTGAATGAAAGGCTGACCAACATCTCTCCAAAAAACTTATTACTTCGGAACTGAACAAAGGATTCCGCGAGGATTAGAAATAAGTCACAAAAATTTCCTTCCTCCAGGAGCCAGACTGGGATAGCGATTTTTGCACCATAATAAATTTACCTCAATTGAAAGCAGCAGCATTAACGTGATTATTTTCAATGAAGGTGATGTGAATTTGAAGATTGGAAACTGAGTAGAGAGTACTGTATGTTTTATCAGGTAGAAGAAGAGGGAAGGTAAATGGCCAAAAAAGGAGTTAGAGAAAGGAATCGACCACATAGCGCAAACCAACTGTATACGTGAAAACGGCGCATTTCTGGTTCAGTATTCTTGAAGAAAAGTTGTTGAGGATTTTGATTACCGAAAATCGAGCACCATGGGCGGCCATCGTATTCCACTTCCGTTTCCGAGGGCGGCTCCTCGTATTCCGAATAAATCAAGCGCACCTCACGGCCTGAAACACGTAGAAATCAATTCATGAGTATTATATCAGGAAGAAATTTTGAGTGATAAGCAAACCCTGAATTTTCTGATCATGAAAAAAATTGTCCATATTGACGCTCGTCTCCGAACTCGGCTCGTCGTAGTCCGAATAAACCAGGCACACCTCCTTGCCATCTACAAATTTGAATGATTTTAAAACATCAGATTTGAGAAACGCAAAAAACAGGAGATCAATAAAGCTCAGAAGGACTGGATCTTCTTCTTTCCACGCAATTTTGCATAAATCATTATCAAAAAGTATTTTGACTAGACTGCTCTCTGTTCCGTCCTTTTTCTACCGCAGTGGTTCACCCAAACAGTTAAAATTTGGGAGTAAATGTTTTCCTGTCATATACAAAGACGATCACATGCTGCTCTAACCTCATAAAAGTACAATAAATTTAACCTTACGACTTAGTATCATGCTAACACAGCTGTAGCAAGCTGTACCATATCCAGATCCTCACTTGCGACAAGGTTGATCAGCAAAAAAGGGCAAAAATTCATCATTACAAAATAAAAGAGTGAGTTTTGTCACATTTACCCACTACGCTTCAGCCCATCCTAGAAGAGCAAAACCGAAACGTATTCGGTATTTTTATTTTGTTGTCCACCTGCTTATTCTTTTGCTTTGATAGACAGTTATTCAGTTCTAATAAAATGAAAGTTCCACACACCCTGATTCAGTCGCTCAGCTAAGTTTCGTCGGTACAACGGCTACGGCAGTGTTAATAAAAGTGCTGATGTAAATGAATAAAGGGGTATGTACTGAATAAGAAAAACAGTCTCACCATTAGCTAGTACATAGTCTTGGAATGGCGTGCATAATTCTGCGTAAACCTAACAAGTAAATGAAAATTTACTTGGTGGAGAGCAGTAGTTGTTGGTGCCGTGGGGCGCGTGATTATAATAGTGCCCGATTTCGTCAATTGCTAAAATATTATGGATAAAATAAGAGTAGAAATAATTGTTAAAAGTTTGAATTAACGGATAGCAAGGCACATGACTAAGAATTTTTTTTTTAAAGGGTCCTTGCAAATAATTAGATTCACATTTGATTCATTAACAAACGAACATGATTATCAATAAGTGGCCAGCGCACCGACTGCCGGTACGAAGATTTTTTTTTTGAATAGTTGTCCGCAGATTTTTGTCGCTAACGGCACCGGTTTTTTCTGCAGATGTTTGTATTTAAACGGACTGAGACTAGCCCCCAGGACTGTCAGGAAACATCTCCTTAAAGTTACAGCTTTCTAGTTTTGCTGTTTCACGAATTAGCAACTTGCTCGAAAAAAACTTTCCCGGGCCCGTAACTGGGAACCACACATACTCGGGGACTGGGTTTGAGCTTATTAACACCTACGTGGACGAAGAACTCCCCCTCCCCTAAAATTTCAGTCTTCTATCTTTTCTGGTTCCGGAATTAACAGTTTGTCCATCAAAAACTTTGGCTGGCCCGTACGTGAGTATCACGAAGGTAAAGCCGCCCATCTTAGGTATAGGAGTACAAACATGCATGTAGATTAAGTTCCGAAAGTTTCAGCCCTGTAGCTATTTGAAGGACTCGAGATGAAAAATTGGTACAGACGAAAGCGCCGAAACACAGACACACACACACACAAACAATTCCTCGTCAATATGCGCTTTCAGAATTGCACAGATTCAAAAAACATATAAAAAGACCAAGATCATCCATCCCACAGTGGAACTATTGGGATGCACCCAACACACCGGATATACTGTGCCAGGTTTTTGATCTTGAATTACGTATCTTCAGTAGTGCCCGCCGCGTGTTTCATGTATGTGCATTCGGGAGCCGCCAGAGTACTCGTTCATTTTCTGACGGGTGCTATGCACGACGCCCACCGCTGTCAGAAAAGCGAGCAACAGAATCTTTGATCATAAACTTTCGTAACATTAACAGTTTTTTCTAGCCATGATATCTCAACGTGATTTAGGAACTGCAGTGCTTGGGACATTGTGATATCGCTCATCTGACGCCGCTGAATTTTCAAGTTGCTAAGGCCTTGCCAAAGGAAAAGCAAGTGGGGCAGCCTAACTATCAGACGATACAGCACTGGTAAAATCAACTTCGAAATGCAAGAAAAACAAAACGGCAAGATTGTTGGCTCCACTACTGAAAAGCGTACCAAACTTAAATACCTCCATCCCTCCCATTGGTTAATTAGTAGAGCTTTTAAGTACTAACTAACTGTGACTGAGAATTAAAAGCGCTCCCACGTCAAACAGGATCTCTCCTCTTTTTTCCTGTTGCACGGTACCCAAAGACCTAAGATAACAAAATCACTAATATTTTCCCTTTCATTGCTCAAGAAGACTGGATAGAAATGCATGAAATAAGAGTCCAAATAATCCAGGAATACTGGAGAGTAGTGAGTTTCAGAAAAGATTACGCGACTTGGAGCTTGTCCACCAGTAATGTTGTGGTCCCTCAATAACCTCGACGTCTGTCTCCGATGGTGCGGAATCGTACTCCGAATAAATCAGATGCACCGTGCGACCTGGAAATTTTTGCCTAAATTTTTGTTTCTAACAAGCCACTCAACTAGACAGCGAACAGTAAAAGGATGTACCGTCGTCGCCCTCATTACCCTCCTCATTGGCATGGCATGAATCTTGCTGCAAAGCCATTAGCGTAAAGCAGTGGCAGCAGCTCACGCAGATTCAACCGTCTGCAACTCTTAAAAAATTTTACACTTTCATGAAGTGGAAAATTTGTCATTTTATACGTTTTTTATGCGTTTTTGCTTATAAGCAAATTGCAGAAACACACATTGTGACGACCCGTGCTGTACGTGTATGTGTGTGTGCATTTATGTGTGCGTCTGTCCGGGTATTTCAACTCGGCACCCAAGCAAGCTCTGGCGCCATGATTTTGCCTAAGGGTTTCCAGGCCAAATGCCACTTCAGGACCGCGGCACCAACTCTCACGCAGCTCTGAGCCGAGCGTACGAGAGGGGGAAGTTTTGGCGGGAAAATAGCTAACTCGGGAACCGGAAAAGCTAGAAAGCTGAAATAGTGGGGTTATGTCCCTTGCCCATCTGGAGTTCAAATTCATATATGCGCGGTTCCCGCATGCGGCCCCGTGAAGGTTCCTATCACGAAAATCGCTGATTTTGGAAGCCAGGGAAGCTGGGAGGCTGGAATTTTAAGAGGATGTCCCCAGCCTTCGTGAAAACTAAAAGCACCAAATTTAGCCTCCACGTTTGCATGGTTCTCATGTACGGCTCCGTGAAGATTTTTGGCGGAAGGAATTGCTAACTCAGGAACCAGGGGAGCTGGGAGGCTAATTTTAAGGGAATGTTCCCAGCACAAGTGCGACCTAAACTTATCAAACTTAGCCTCTCAGTATACGTGGTTCTCACGTACGGCTCCGTGAATATTTTCAGCAAAAAAATGGAAACTCGGAAACCAGGAAAGCTGGGAGGCTGAAATTTTCAAGGATTGTTCCCAGCCCATGTACAACTTAAATTAGCGAAATTCACCCTCCATGCTGCGTGATTGTTACGCACTGCCCCGTGAAACTTCTTTTGCGAGAACATCACTTACCCGGGAACCAAGAAAGCCGGGAGGCTGAAATTTTAAGGGGCTGTTCCCTGTCCAACTACAGCATGGAAACTACTGGGTTTCTGAGCGATCTCATTACGGCTCGAAATGCTGCAAAAACGCATGATCGCAGAGCCCGCCTGGTGCGCGTTGCCAGTGATTTTGCTTTGTAATGCAACGCCAAAAACTCATTAAGGCTAAACTGCGCATTTGTATGCATCTGTAACATGTATAGCATATATGTAAAGATGCACTCATGTGTAAGTGTTCACATGAATGCATGTGTGTTTGTTGTGCCTGCTCTACATTCAAACAGCAAGGCTGGAAGCAAAATGTACCTGCAGAGTCACCTTTTCTCGGTGGTAGTCAGCACGTGAACTCAGGCTGGAACGCATCAGGCGGGCCGGTGCGATTATGTGTTTTTGCACTTTTCGTGCCGTAACAAGGTCGCAAAGAGTCACAGTTGCTAACCCTGTGACATAATGGCCCTCGAAGTTCGGGAGCTTAATTGTGCAACTATGTGGTATGTCAGTTGTAGATGTCAACTTCAACGGCCCGACAAATGCAAAGCTGCTGGTCCACGAAAAAGGCCGCACTAGACGAGCTAAATTTGAAATTTTTTAGTCACACATGTGTAGGGAACATTCCCTTAAAATTAAAGTCTTCAAATTTTTCCGTTCCCGGGTTAGTAATTTCCCGCCAAAATTTCCACGCGCTCGTACGTAGGCCCGGGGTCTTCCAAACATTTGATTTGCTCATGCATGAGTAGGGAACATTACCCCAAAGCTTCAGCTCTCTAGCTTTTCCCCGGGTTAGTAATTTCCGCGCCAAAACTTCCACAAGTAGCGTACGTGGGTCTCGGGCGCCTCTAAAAAACTGATTATGGTTGTACATGAGTAGGAAACATTCCTGTAAAATTTCAGCTTCATAGCTTTTTTCGTTCCCGGGTTAGTGATTTCCGTGCCAAAACCTTCACATGTAGTGTACGTGGGTCTCGGGCGCCTCTAAACAACTGATTTTGGTTGTACATGAGTAGGGAACATTCCCGTAAAACTTCAGCTTTCTAGCTTTTTTCATTCCAGGGTTAGTAATTTTCACGCCAAAATTTCCACGTGCTCGTACGTGGGCCCCAGACAGTCCTAAGGAGCTGAGTTTGAAAACTTTTGGTCGTGCATGAGTATGGAACATTTCCCCAAAGTT